TAAAAAAAAAAAAAAAAAAAAAAAAGAAAAGTTTGATGAAACCTTTTTTATTGGTTTTATCCAGAAGTCCTGTGGCTCCTGCCATCAGTGTGTAGGACAGGTGTTATTATTGTTTCCATCTCAGAGCTGAGGATTGGCAACTTAACTGAAGTAACAGAGTTAGTAAGTGGAAAAGCAGAATCTTGAATGTGGGTCTTCTGATTCCAAAAACCTATATTCTTTGTAATATTTTATCAGTCCATTCTCACGCTGCTAATAAAGACATACCCAAGACTGGTTAATTTATAAAGGAAGGCGGTTTAATTGACTCACAGTTCCACAGGGCTGGAGAGGCCTCAGCAACTTACAGTCATGGTAGCAAACAGGCCCTTCTTCACATGATGGCAGGAAGAAGAAAAAATAAGTGCCCAGTGAAGGGAGAAGCCCCTTATAAAACCATCATATCTTGTGAGAACGAATTCACTATCACAAGAACAGGATGGGGGAAACTACCCCCGTGATTCAATTATCTCTACCTGGTCCCTCCCAGGACACGTGGAAATTATGGAAACTACAATTCAAGATGAGATTTAGGTGAGGATACAGCCAAACCATATCAAATATCATTTTTGTTCCCTTATACAAATGACTTGCACATAATTTCTGGAGCTGATTTGAAGATAATAACTCTTTTTATGGAATATGGCAATTCTGAACACATTACTGTTTGCCAGGTCAAAAAGCATTCTCTAGAAGAATGGAGCGAACTTAAAATGACTCTTTAGGGACCCTGGTGGGTGGACCTGCACTGACTGTTGAGCAGAATGATTACCGAAGACTGTTCCTCTCACTAAATACTATTCCAGCTAGAAGAATCCCCGGAGTTGCTGGCCATTTTTTGTTTTGTTTTGTTTTGTTTTGTTTTGACTGCTGAGTCACTGACTCTTGATTATCTTTCTTTTAATTGATGAAATTATAAGGGTAACAGCCAGTAAGAAAAATGAAGGTTGGATTTTGTCAGTAAGTAGTCACCAGGAGTCAAATTCATTCTTATAAAAGCTAACATTTGTACAGCATGTGCTGTGCGCCATGCTTCCTTATAATTTATATGAATTATCTTATTTAATAAGATAATAGTTGTCTGTTTCAATGATGTCAGTGCTATTAACTCCATATTACATGTGATGTCCATATTAACTTGCCCAAGGCCACACTGTAATGATGGTGAAGCTGGGACCTGAACAGGCACTTTGTTCCAGAGTCCTTGCTCTTAGCCACCATGCTAGGATGTCTCTCTATTAGAAGGCTTGTTGTTTGGTAAGTGAGAGTAAGATGTATAATGAGCTTTCTCTCTGGAGAGATTTTTCTTAACTCATTCTGTATGTGGAATATGTGATTTGCAAACTGTGCAACTCAAATAGGTGTTGCCCAAGTAGAAGACACACCATGTTTGAGTGTCTTCCAGGTGAATGGTGTCATAGGCATATACTCCACAAATATCCTGATTTACCCTGTGATTCAGCTAATTCCTCAGGTTGGATCAACCTACCACTTCTGAGTATTATTGTGAGAATGCACTGGTGTCATCTAGTATTTGCATTCCATTAAAGAGAGAGGCTTAGAGCTAAACATCCCTTAGATAAGAGCATGCAGGAGATGATGACTTGGAAAACTTGAAATTAGCTTTGACTTTTAAACTTTTACACATAACAGCAAAATAAACCAAAGAGGAATATTTTTTCTACATCTTCCATGAATTTTTGTTCTCTTGGTAATGAAAACAAAGTCATGGGACAGGGAAACAAAGGATTTGGAGGGCGCACAATTAGTGTGAGGTTTATTTCATCAAGGAAGAAGTAGTTCAGAAGTTCAGCTTCAACTCTCCAGAACTTACGATAAATCTGCGTTCCCATAAAGAAGGATTGCATTCATAAAATTGCACTCAATCTCCTATTATTAGTTCTATACATTAATTTATTGACTTGATAGTTATTCAGCCACTGGGCACCTACCACGTGCGAGACACTTTTCAATGTGCTAATTATTTTCTCATTTATTTTCTATCACTTTTTATTTTTTATTTTTTTTAAGACAGAGTCTTGCTCTGTTACCCAGGCTGGAGTGCAGTGGCGTGATCTTGGCTTACTGCAACCTCCGTCTCCTGGGTTCAAGTGATTCTCCTGCCTCAGCATCCCAAAGAGTAGGACTTACAGGCACCTGCCACCATGCCCAGCTAATTTTTGTATTTTTAGTAGAGATGGGGTTTCACTTGTTGGCCAGGATGGTCTCAAACTTCCGACCTCAGGCATGAGACACCATGCCTGGCCTTCTTTCTGTCTATCACTTTCATGGCTATTTTGACATTCTCCTGGGGATGGAAGACAAGCTGAATGGGGAGTTTATAGCATCAGAATATTGTATTCATTTCTTGATCTCTTTCCTCTCTTCCAGTGTTCACATGCTGCTCGGCTTCTCCAATATGGGTTCACATGCTTGTTTTCTAGCTCTTGGTTCCCTTTCTACACTATTTTGTTTTAATCCAGAAATGCTTACTTCTAGTGAGTATTTCATTGAGAAATTAGGTTTCAACTACAGAAGTGTTGCTGTGACTCCTTTATTGAAGAAATATCCTGCTTTTTCAGACATGGCTCTCTCAAGTTCTACCCAGCACCCTACTTTAATCGTAGGTCCAGGGTAACCAGTATGAACAGTTTAAATTCTAGATTTAAAACTTTTCTAGACATGCTTTGTTTTCTTTCCTGTTTCCTTGTTCTATACCCTCTCCCTTCTTTCCAGGAATTTAGTGCTGGGCTCACTTACGAAATCATGCAGAAGGATAAAGGGGAGGTAGGGCAGAGGGTCTGCCATCTAATGTGGCTCCTACTTCCATTCTCAGAGCAGGACAAAGGGACTGTTCTTGGGTCACAAGAGGCAATTCCAAATGGGACTTTGTCCCAGTTCCACCCTCTAGCTTTCTGGCTTCAACTCTTCTTCCTAGCAGTGTGACTGACTGTTCTTCAGGTTTTGCAAGGGCCCGGCCTGCTCTGGGGTGACATCTCCTGTGCTCATTAATGGTTTGTTTCAGGGGAGTGTGACAGAGCAGCAGCCGAATTTGGTTCTAGAGCAAGTGCCTGAAAAAGACCTCAGGAAATGTTCTCTTTTTCCCTTGCTATGCTTTCATGATTCTTCCAGAGCACATCATTGCCCTTTAAGATACAGTGCAAGTTGAAACCACATACCTCAGTGGATTCATTCCCCAAGTGAACGTAAAGATTTAGATGACATGTCTCACATACCTTTTGAGCAGCCACCCTGGAAATACATTTTTATTTGATCGTTAGGTGTTGCCTGGAGGAGGATTTATGTATAGTAGATACATTTGAAGCTGGATTAAGTCGGCACTGGTTTAAAAAACATCTTTTATATAATAGAAAAATCTAGGCTGGGCACGGTGGCTCATGCCTGTAATCTGAGCACTTTGGGAGACTGAGGCAGGTGGATCACCTGAGGTCGGAAATTTGAGGCAGGTGGCCAGGAGTTCGAGACCAGCCTCGTCAACTTAGTAAAACCTAACCTCTACTAAAAATACAAAAAATTAGCTAGGTTTGGTGGCACACGCCTGTAATCCCAGCTACTTGGGTGGCTGAGGCATGAAAATCATTTGAACCAGGGATGTGGAGGTTGTAGTGGGCTGAGATCGCGCCACTGCATTCCAGCCTGGGTGATGGAATGAGGTGCTGTCTCTAAATAAATAAAATAGAACCAAGTCTGTAAATAAATACATGATTATATTTTCTATTCAAACCTCTCTCTATATTTAATCACAGGCAGTTTTAATGAAGGAGGAAGGATTAACTAGAAACTGTCAGCACCCATCTCTCGGGCCTGGCCTATGGCTTTAGCTTCTCTGGCTGTCCACTCAGTATGGCTGTTCTGAGCCTTCCTTTCCCCACCATTCAAGGTGATCTGGTGTACATTTACCAGCTATCAAGTCCTCTCTCTCTCTCTACTGAGCATCATAGGAGAGCTCTCCAGGTTGCCATGAGCCCTCTGGGAGCTCTCAGGCCTCAACCCAGCGCCCCTCTGCACTGAACACCCCAGTCTTTTCTCTGATGATTCTGCCCATCCTGCAGGAACTTCGCACCTGGGAGGAGGAGCTGACCCGGGCTGCACTGCAGCAGAAGAACCAGGAGGAACTGCTGCGGCGTCGGGAGCAGGAGCTGGCCGAGCGGGAGATTGACATCCTGGAACGGGAGCTCAACATCATTATCCACCAGCTGTGCCAGGAGAAGCCCCGGGTGAAGAAACGCAAGGGCAAGTTCAGGAAGAGCCGGCTGAAGCTCAAGGACGGCAACCGCATCAGCCTTCCTTCCGGTCAGTGGCCAGGGACTGGCTGGGAAGTTGGAGGAGGGCAAGAAGCTGGTGTGGCAGTGGGTTTGTGGGAGCCCGCAACTGAGCTTGGAAACATGACACCTTGGGGCTCAAAATCTAGCCTATTTGAAATGGGCCATTCTGTCCAGTGGAAAGACTGGCGTGCTGTAAATCTACCCCACTCCAGGGAAATTGTTGCATGTGAATGAACACAGAATATAAAGTGAGAACAGCCTGGCAAGGTCCAGGCTGCTAGAAGCCTGGTGGCTCACAGGGGCACATCTCACCTTAGGCAAACCTGGAGAAGGAAGCATGAAGTTGAGGGGGAGCATTCCATGGTGTGCATGTGTGAGACACAAGAAGTGTTGGCTCTGCAAAGTAACTTGTCTCTAAGTTTCTTTTTTTTTTTTTTTTTTTTTTTTTTTTTGAGATGGAGTTTTGCTCTTGCTTCCCAGGCTGGAGTGCAATGGCAATATCTTGGCTCACTACAACCTCCACCTCCTGGGTTCAAGCGATTCTCCTGCCCCAGGTTCCCAAGTGGCTGAGATTGCATGTGTGCGCCACCATGCCTGGCTGATTTTTGTATTTTTAGTAGAGACAGGGTTTCACCATGTTGGCCAGACTGGTCTCGAACTCCTGACCTCAAGTGATCCACCCACGTTGGCCTTCCAAAGTGCCGAGATTACAAGTGTGAGCCACCGTGCCTGATCGAGGTTTCTTTAGTAAGTTCTCTAACTGAGATTAGGTTGAATGTAATAAGAATTTACATGATAAGGTTAAACCAAGAGGCTTAGTATATACGAATTTACATGGTAAGATTTACATGTGGCCTTTCAGACACACACATCAAGTGAATAAAGGTACATTTATTATATTACAGCCTTGGGGAAGATATAAAGAAATATAAAACTAGGAATTAGAATCTTTGTGGTGTGTAATGTATCCATGGAGGGAGCTGAATGCTAAAATGTGTGTTGATGTGGATAAAAATATTCATTGTATTCTAAGTCTATAAGGCCCTAGAAAGCAGGCTTATTAGAAGTGTAAGGAACAAAGAAAGAATGGTCTAATAGGGGCAGGAGCAGATGATGTTAAGCACTAGAATGGTGGCTTAAGTACACATAAAGGAACTCATTCCGTGCAGTTGAGTGAATATGTTCATGAGCTGTGTTTGCTGGTTTCCTTGCTGCACATTTTTTTTTCCTTTTCGGGCAGCATGGAGTCTTTAAGTGCCCCTTGAGCATCTAGCATGTGCCAGCATATTGTTGCATGCTGGGATGCAGATAGAAAAGCTATAGTTCCCACTTGCAGGGAGATCACAGTCTAATGGGGAGATACAGGTGCAAGCAGGCAGCTGTTTAATATACCTCTTCGATAGAAGAGGAGACTGCAACTCAGAAATTCAGAGCTGTAAGTTTTACATTCTTTATGCTGAACCGTAACTTCCTTTGGAATGTGTCAGAATTGGAGCCATTTGTTCCAGCTCCCTCACTGCCCTAGGTTCCCACAACAGCTAGTTGTTGATGCGCTGCTCTGTCTGCACTTAGTGAGGAGAGTCAGTCTCCCTGCTTCGGCCCTTGAGTAAAGAGACCAAATCTATCTGATAATAGACTATGTAAAACCAATCATTTTAAGTTAAGTTTCCTAGAATAATCAACCATATCTCATGAGCTAAAAAGCTATTCTTAGTACATAATTGCTCGATCTATATTCATTATATAGACAGCTTTCTGAAGCTCACTAATGAAGTTCACTTGCACAGTGAATTTTCCATCTTTTCATACATTCCTCTCCCCATGTCCCTTGGGAAAAAGAGATGATTCTAAAAGAGTACATTTCCCAGGTGAACAAAGAGCTTTTCAGGAAACTGGGGCCTGTCCCTCAAGAATGCTGAGGAATGTCAGATTTCTTATATGAATTTGCTTATGGGAAATTTTAATGCATACACGTGTTTGTCTTTCCCCAAGCAGATTTCCAGCACAAGTTCACAGTGCAGGCCTCCCCAACCATGGATAAAAGGAAGAGTCTTATCAACAGCCGCTCCAGTCCTCCTGCAAGTCCCACCATCATTCCTCGTCTTCGAGCCATCCAGTGTGAGACTGTTTCCCAAATTAGCTGGGGCCAGAACACACCAGGGGCACCTGTCCCCTGCTCTGTCCAGCCACCGACTGGTCCAGGCTTGCTCCATCCATAACTTCTGCCACCTCTCCTCGACAATGTGTATATACATGCACATATGTACGCAAACCCTTAGCCCTCCCCCTTGTCTCTCTCCATTAACTTTACTAGTGCCTCCTCTACCTTTTAGTCACATATCAGCAAAGGGATTTGTGGGTACTCATGGGATCTTTAGTGGTTCACAAAGCAATTTAGAGACTGGTTTGTGATGTAGATACAGGTTGCTACCTGGCCTGAGAACACAGCACACTCTTCGCCATATTTGGGGCATCATTGTTTTTCTTTCGTCCATGCTTCCCAAGAAAGGGTTTTGTTTTCAAAGTATAGACCCTAAGGAAACTTGCCAAAGACTTTATAATAGGCCAAATCTGGACCAGTTTTATCTTTGCTGCAGTATTTGCTTAAAAAAATATACTCACGCATACATATAAGTGTATGTGTGTGTGAATGCACACCTATATGTGACTGAATTCATTTCCCTGATTTAAAGTCAGAGAGATTTTATTTAAAAATCTGAGATTTCTACTTTTCCTTTAAAAATGAAATCAAATCAGTGGGTTTCTTTTTTCATGTGGCTGCAGTTGGCTATGGCAGCTTCCATATACTCCATATTTTGCCTCAGCCCCTTCAACTCTTTGTGTTTTGGTAACTATCTCACTTTGCTCATCGATGATATAAGCACAGTCCCTGGGGCATTTGGGTCTCAACCCTTGCTCCCAGGTATTAATGTCAGAAAAATATTCCTCCTCTCTTATCTCTCTTACTCTAGGCCTGTTCCTTCCCCTCTCCTACTCCTGAGTTCCTTTGCCATAACCTTGAACTCCTCATTTTCTCCCCTCTCTGCCCTTTCTTTCCAAGAATTTCTGCATTTCCACACCTTCCTTACCCCTTGTCTTTTTTTCCCCTTCACCTGCCTCCTTATTTGCTCACTATCCAATCCCACCCAACAAAACAAGTTCCTTAAGTCAGATCTGTTTGGAACTCTGGTGTCTGGCTGGCCTAAGCCCTAGCTTTTCATTGGATTTGTGAAAACTGAAGAAGTGTTTCCATCTTTAATACTGTGAGAGAGCAAAATGATTGATGGCTGAGAACTCCATTACTTTCCTGGAAGGTTCCACTTGGGCACAGAGTTTTTGATAAGGTCTGACTTCCCTGCAGCTCCAAATGTGTGTGTGTGTGTCTGGTGGTGTAGAGGCTAGTTTGGGGGAGCCCTGTCTGTCCATTTTCTAGATCCTGTCCAACCCTTGTTATTCACAGTGACACCAGGTGAAAGCAGCAAAACCTGGGGCAGGAGCTCAGTCATCCCAAAGGAGGAAGGGGAGGAGGAGGAGAAGAGGGCTCCAAAGAAGAAGGGGCGGACGTGGGGGCCAGGGACGCTTGGTCAGAAGGAGCTTGCCTCAGGAGATGAAGGGTAAGTGCCAGATGACATGAAATTCTTTCTCACTTGAAGATGGATGCACCATTTAAACATATGATGTGAAATATTTTTTTTCTCTGTCATGTGTTTGAACACTTGCTGAGAAATTACAAGCTTCTTAATCATTACAACAGTTTTTCAACCTCCTTGTTCCCAGAACTTCCTAGGATAGGCATGGAAAACTTTTTCCATAAAGAACCAGATAACACCTATTTTAGGCTTGTGATTCCTATGTCCCTATCCCAACTGTTCAGCTCCACTATTCGAGCACAGAAGCCACCGTAGACATGGGCGATATGTAAATGAATGAGCATGGCTATGTTCCAGTAAAACCTTAGGAAAGCAAGTGGCTGGCAAGGTTTAACCCACCACCTGTAGTTTGCCAACCTCTGAAGGTAGCGAGTAGCCCAAGCATGAACCAAATGTAAAAAGTTTTGCCAGAGTGTTCTGCTTACACTTGGCTCTTCTTTCTTAAAGCATTCATGCAGAAGAAAGAGAAGAAAGAGCAGAAGTTTACAGGACTCTCTTGCCTAGAGGCTCTTCCTGAAGCAGGGGCAGGTAGCCCTGGTAGTGCAGTTGTATATAACTCCAGGGCCGCTAAAACTTCTTTCTGGCCTTACCCCATTACCACACTCCCATATATGACGGCCTCCTCTGGGCAGGGCACAAGGGGGCTGAGAGCTTTGAATGTGCCTATGTTCTCACTTGTGGGCTTGAAGCCTAGGGGTCAGATTCTCCCTTGAGCCTCAGTTCTTCACAGGATATGCACTCATAGTGTAGTAGTGAAGATCTTTGACTCTGGCACCAGACTGCCTGGGCGTAAACCCTGGCGCCACCACATCTAGCTGTGTGATCTTATGTTTTCTAATTTATAAATGGGATAACATTATTACCTGTCTCATGGAGTTGAGGCAAGGATTAAATAAGTTCATCTTTGTGAGTGCAGAGAGGATGAGCTGGCCCATAGTGAGCATATGTAAATATTAGCTGTGATGACACTTACTGCTTCTCATGCAATTTTACATCATACCCAAAGAATGGATGGAACCATTTATACTTCACATTCTGGGTGTTAGAAGCTGGCACAGTATTTCTTGATGTTTCTCTTAAATATGTGCAAGGATAGCCAGTAGTCTCCTGCGTTTTTTAGTGACTTTCTAAAGAGCTTCTCAGGTTGAGTATTAGCCTTACACGTGCCCTGAACCTGCAAATGGCCTTGGTAGTCCTTTAAATACTAAGATTTCATGTCCAAAATCTGTTACTTTCCCATGTCAGATCTGAGCTGAAGGTAAAAATAACACTTTTATTCATAAAGGATTGACTCTCTGAAGCTAGGCTTTGGAAGTCACTAGATACCTTTGAGCAGAAAGTTTAGATATGTAGGGCAAACTACCTCAGCTGTGTAAGACTCCAGCAATGGAATCCTTGGGGGATGGCAGATTCTTCCACTAAGTTTTAAGTGAGAGCTCTCTAGTTTGTCCTTTGAGCCCTAGGCTAGAGTGGGGTTGAGCTGGGTCTGAGAAACTCAGTCACCCTGAGTCTCTTGATATTTCTTGACATTAATGTGATTCCAGATAGAGTTCACAGGGCTGGCTATGGATTTTAACAATTCCTATGGTTCTGCTTCATTTAAAGATTTTTTTTTTTGTCTTGGTAGTAAACTTTATTTCACATTGCAAAATGTTAACTTTGGAATTTTTTTCTTCCTCACAAACTTTTGAAAGAATTAAAAAATACATGACTGACTTTTTTCATGATTCTCAGTTCCCATTGAAGAAATAAAAGTATATTCTACCCAGACTTGAGTGAAGACCTCTTTAATGAAATTTTGAGAACTTCTATATGATAATATTTCTAGTTTTAGTACCTTTTGACTAAAGAAAATATGTGATGACCAAAAGCCATTTTGAATTCAGTAATGTTAAGTGAGTTTTGCATCCTCATTCTTTTAAAAAAAAAATACGTATTTGTCCAAAACATACATACCTGTCTATAGACGGCTTGGATATCTGTGGATTCACAGGCCCCCTGCAACTATGCTGCAGCTGCCCAGGGATCTTTGTCCTGGGCCTGTTGTGGCTTAAACAGGACCATCTTGTTAAGATCCCTTCATGGTGTGGGCTTTGCAGCTGGACAGTGGGAAGGCAGCTGGTGATGTAGTGTGAGTGCAGCCTTGGGTGTTGTGGTGTGGGAGAGGCTGAGCTGAATGTGCCCTCCATTGCCTGCTACTGATTCTCTTTATTCATTGAAGATCCCCTCAGAGGCGTGAGAAAGCTAATGGTTTAAGTACCCCATCAGAATCTCCACATTTCCACTTGGGGTGAGTCTCATCTTCACCCTTCCACCAACTGTCCTGGTAACAGTCTCCCTTCCATTTCCTTGTTCTCACAGCATTCCCCATAGAATCAAGCCTCATTATTGCCAGGGCTGAACTGACTTTTTTGTTTTTGTTTTTGTTGTAAGCAGTACCATTGTGCACCTTGGGAAAATTCCTGTGTTGATCTAATTTTACCTTATTCTTCACTCCACTGACCACTCCAATTAGGATACTCCTGGCACCCTTGGTTTTCGAGAGGCAATATGTGGCTATTTATCCTTTGGTCTTCAGCACTGGTTTTGACTTTACTCGTCTGGATTTTCCTGGATCCAGAGCTGGAAGTGATGTTACAAGAGTCTCAGTTGGAAGCCCCAGGCTGTGGGTTTGGCAGCATGCTTGTCTCTTGCTCTATATTTTGGTTGAAACCAGTGGTGGTTGGGACGTACTTTAATTTGCTGGTATTTCTGATAGTACTCGAAACAATTCCGAGGTCAGGGAAAACGTTGGTCCTTCTGTCTCTCTCAAGATGGCTGGGACTTTGGGGGAAGTGAGCTTTAGTTGAATGATTCTTTCTAGCCTTAAAAAAAGAAAGCCGCTCTGGTCGTAATCCCGATATTTCCAGGGCAACCATAGCCCATAGATTCCTCAGTCCTCCCTTTTACTGTTCTCTAGGGAAAAGACCAGTGCTTCTAGGCCTCTGGTTCCTGCCTCCTACAAGGGGGTTGGCAGGGTGCCCAGGCTGTATCCTCGGAGAGTTACCGGCTTTCCCTATGAGCTGATTACAGGGATTTGAAAGCGAGCTCCTGTCCTCTGTCTCTCCATCCCCAGACAAACCGAGGGCTCTGCTTCAGCACTGTGCACTACCCACATAGGTCTGTCCCACAGTGCACTGGGTTGGCGTGGCTTTGTTGGTTGATTTTTCATTTTGAAAAGGGGATGGCTTTGAAAGTTCGCTAAGCATGCCATAAAGCCTGGAAGGAGAGCCTGAGAAACGCTGTGTGTGGAGTAGCCTGGTCCACCTCTGCTAGCTTGGCTGCCCGGCGCTTGCCTGGCTTCGCAGGTCTTTGCATCACAGTAACTGTAATGCCACAATGTGTTGTGTTCAGTGTCTGCTTTGAGTGCCTCTCCCTTTAGATGCGCTGAGGCAAGACCCCTGCCAGGAGGACCATCCTTGTTCTTTCTGTTTGCCAGCCTGCCCACTAGTTCTTTCTATAGTTCCATAGCAGCATGTGAGGGGGGTGGGTCATGTCATTGCCCTTTCTTCCCTGGAGCATGTACATTTCTGTTTGTGAAGCAGGTGGGCTTGGTAAGAGTCATTGCCTGTATGTACTCCAAAGCTCTTTGGTAGAATGAAGCAGGTAGGGAGCAATGTCTCCATAGACCCATGGAGCTGAGGGTTGAGCAAGGAAGGTAACCAGTTCTAACAGTTTCCTCTTGTCCTCTGATTCAGCCTCAAGTCCCTGGTAGATGGATATAAGCAGTGGTCATCCAGTGCCCCCAACCTGGTGAAGGGCCCGAGGAGTAGCCCGGCCCTGCCAGGGTTCACCAGCCTTATGGAGATGGGTAAGCATGGCTCTTGTCTTGGCTCTCTTCCTGCTCCCTCAGGGTGTTCTTGCCCAAGCTTCTAGGACCACTTAAGGACCCCTAGCACTGCTTCATGGAGGCTGTCTCCCCTTCTACTCAACCTCTGCCCCCCACCCTATCTCTTCTTAGTTTGCTCTTCTCCCATTTCATTGAGTCTTCCCAAATTATCATTTCCTCCTCCTGCTGTCATGGAGTCTGCCCTTGGAGTTCTATCCCAAGGGACCAGTGGTAATCTTCTTAGAGCAATGAAGAAGGGTGAGGCCTTATGTCAGCCATTTACCGTATCTGGGTTTAGTTCCCCAGTGTGGCAAGTCCACAAAGTGGGGGATGGCAGTAAGGACACTGCAGCCTTCCTCCCAGGAAGCTCTTCCCCTGTTGCCCTGTGATGACTCAATGGGGAGGTGCTTCTCCACGCTGTTTCTCAGACAGTGCTGTCTCTGTAGATTTCCAAGGTCATAATACATCACTCAATAGAGTAGGTTGGTTGTCCTGCACTAGGGATTCTAATCCTTTCAGGAGGCTGGTCCTAAGACAACTTGCTAGGCCATTGTTCTAGAAATCCAGAGGCCCTTTTAATTTTAAGGTACGAAAACTTTGGGAATGTTTCTGTTCTAGAATGTTCAGTGTTCTAGAAGCTCATACTGCACTTTGTGTTAAGGGCCCGGTATTAGGGTTCTCCAGAGGGAGAGACCCAATAGGAACCAAAAGGAACTTTATTAGGGAGAATTGGCTCACACAGTTAAAAAGGCCAAGTCCCATGATAGGCCATCGGCAAGCTGGAGAATGGGAAAAGCCTGTAGTGCGGCTCCCAGGGAAGGCAGTAGAGTGGCTCAGTCCCAGTTCAAAAGCCTTAACACCAGGGAAACCAGCAGGGAAACCCCCCCAGTCTGAGGCCTGAGAGCCCTTGAAAGACCTCTGGTACAAGTCTGAGAGTCCAGAGGCTGAAGAACCTGGACTCTATGTCCAAGGGCAGGAGGAGAAAAAGTGCCCCTCTCCAGAAGGTAGAAAGAGAGAGAAGAAGCTAAGCAAGCTCAGCATCCCCCTTTTTCCGCCTGCTTTGTTCTCACCTTGCTGGCAGCCACTTGGGTGGTGCCCACCGACATTGAAGGTGGGTCTTCCTCTCCCTACCCCCTGACTCACTTCTCAGTCTCCCCTGGAAACAGCCTCACAGACACACCCAGCAGCAGTACTTTACCAGCCATGTAGGCATCCCTCAGTCCAGTCAAGTGGATACCCAAGTGACCATCACAGGTCCCTTATGAAAGAAGCAGCCAATTAACGGATCTTCTTTTCTGCTCATAAGGAAATGGGCTCTGGAATGGAGAGTGGTTTCCCTATGCTGGGGGATGGATAAAGCCCTCTTGATTCAGTGTTCACTTCCATGTCCTGCTCATCACACCACTGGACCTTTGTGGCCCTGACACTGAGACAGGAGGCCTGGGTTAGGGGAAAGGACCAGATTCTTATACCTGCCACTTCATTTGCATTTCCTGTTTCTCTCCCACCCCTGTCATCTTCACAGAGGATGAGGACAGTGAAGGCCCAGGGAGTGAAGACAGTCGTCTACAGCATTCACCCAACCAGTCCTACCTCTGTATCCCATTCCCTCGTGGAGAGGATGGGGATGGCCCCTCCAGTGATGGAATCCATGAGGAGCCCACCCCAGTCAACTCGGCCACCAGTACCCCTCAGCTGACACCAACCAACAGCCTCAAGCGGGGTGGTGCTCACCACCGCCGCTGCGAGGTGGCTCTGCTCGGCTGTGGAGCCGTTCTGGCAGCCACAGGGCTAGGGTTTGACTTGCTGGAAGCTGGCAAGTGCCAGCTGCTTCCTGTGGAGGAGCCTGAGCCACCAGCCCGGGAGGAGAAGAAAAGACGGGAGGGTCTTTTTCAGAGGTCCAGCCGTCCTCGTCGGAGCACCAGCCCCCCATCCCGAAAACTCTTCAAGAAGGAAGAACCCATGCTATTGCTAGGAGACCCCTCTGCCTCCCTGACGCTGCTCTCCCTCTCCTCCATCTCCGAGTGCAACTCCACACGCTCCCTGCTGCGCTCCGACAGCGATGAAATCGTCGTGTATGAGATGCCAGTCAGCCCAGTAGAGGCCCCTCCCCTGACCCCGTGTACCCACAACCCCCTGGTCAATGTCCGAGTGGAGCGCTTCAAACAAGATCCTAACCAATCTCTGACTCCCACCCATGTCACCCTCACCGCCCCCTCGCAGCCCAGCAGTCACCGGCGGACTCCTTCTGATGGGGCCCTTAAGCCAGTGGCCCTCCTAGCCAGCAGGAGCCCCTCCAGCAATGGGTTGAGCCCCAGTCCTGGAGCAGGTGAGAATTCTTCCTCTTTTCTCTTTCTTCTCTTTGTACTTCTCCGTTTGCAGGCCTCATTTTCTCTTTCCACCTCTGGATTTGAGTGAACATCTTTCCTCCTCTTACTCAGCCAATTAAGAAATGCGGTTTTGGGATCAGGGAGGTGGCCAGGGCTGGCTGTCTTCTCTCTGACCTGTGCTTCAGGGGGTCTTCCCTGAGGATTGAGAGAAGACAGGCAGGAAGAATCAGAAGACCTGGGACTCCTTTGGAATGTCCAGGCCCTGAGTCTTAGGGTAGGGTAGTGTTTTCAGGGCACAGGAAGGGCAGGAGTCTAGTTTTTCCCTGAGGAGGATGATGCATTTACCAGGAAGGAATCTTGCACTGTAGTTGGGAAGGGTTATGTTCTGCCACATAGCTGGGATTTTGCCTCTCATTATAGCATTAGTTCACACACTCAGAAGGCAGGCTTCCACCTATTCATCACACCTTTCAGCACTCACCCCTGACTCATACCTTCCTCTTCAGGTTTGGAGATGTGTCCAGGTAAATTGCTATTCCTGTAAATATGCCTGTCCTCTCCACTTGAGACCTGACACCTGGGCACACACACTCATCCCTGGTCTTTCTTGTCACCATCTCTTGCTCCCTGGGAGACCTAAGTCTGTCTTGGAAACAGCCTCTAATCCAGTAGGGAAAGAGGGGATAATAGTATCCTTTCAATGAGATTTAAGTGTTAACAACAATTGTATTTAACCATTGGTATGACCTGCCCTCCTGTTCTTTGGTTATGCTCAGATATGTGACCTCTTTGGGAACAGAAACCCTCCGTGACTCACCTTTGGACTTCTGATACCTAGCTCCGTTCCCGTCACATGTTTATACCATGAATGAACAAAGAGATGATCCCTTAAGTCAGGGGTCAGCAAGCTTTTTTTGGTGAAGGTCCAGACAGTAAATATTTTAGGCTTTGGAGGCCATACAGGTTCTGTTGTAACTACTCAACAATGCTGCTGTAGTGGGAAAGCAGACACTGGATGTGGCTGTGTTTCAATACAATTTTATTGTTTTCATTTTTTTCAAACAAAGTCTCACTCTGTCACCCAGGCTGGAGTGCAGTGGCATGATCACAGCTCACTGTAGCCTTGACCTCCTGGGCTCAAGCATCCTCTTGCTTCAGCCTCCCAAGTAGCTGGGACTACAGGCATGCATCACCATGCCCAGCTAATTTTGCAAAAAATGTTTGTAGAGATGGAGTTTCACCATGTTGCCCAAGCTGGTCTTGAACTCATGGGCGTAAGTGATCCTCCTGCCTTGGCCTCCCAAAGTGCTAGGATTAGAGGCATGTGCCACTATACCCCATCTAAAACTTCATTTATAAACACAGGTGGCCAGCTTGTGTGTCATTTGCCAACATCTGCCTTAAGTTATTTCATTACAGATATCCTATTGTATCCTATTATTCTTACCAGACATAGGGATCCGGGCCTTCTTTTGTGACACATGACACTATTGTGTCCCCAGTACCTCCCAGCCCACTGCATGGCACATAGTAGATGCTCCACAAATCTTTGCTGATTCATGTTCTCCTGAGCGCATAGGGATTTGGTAGTGCTGTGGGGGAGTAGTGGATAGCTAGCCTGAAAATATGGTGCATCTTCTGATGCCTCTCCTTTTGCCTTTTTTTGACCAGGAATGTTGAAAACTCCCAGTCCCAGCCGAGACCCAGGTGAATTCCCCCGTCTCCCTGACCCCAATGTGGTCTTCCCCCCAACCCCAAGGCGCTGGAACACTCAGCAGGACTCTACCTTGGAGAGACCCAAGACTCTGGAGTTTCTGCCTCGGCCGCGCCCTTCTGCCAACCGGCAACGGCTGGACCCTTGGTGGTTTGTGTCCCCCAGCCACGCCCGCAGCACCTCCCCAGCCAACAGCTCCAGCACAGAGACGCCCAGCAACCTGGACTCCTGCTTTGCTAGCAGTAGCAGCACTGTGGAGGAGCGGCCTGGACTTCCAGCCCTGCTCCCGTTCCAGGCGGGGCCACTGCCCCCTGCCGAGCGGACGCTCCTGGACCTGGACGCAGAGGGGCAGAGTCAGGACAGCACTGTGCCGCTATGCAGAGCAGAACTGAACACACACAGGCCTGCCCCTTACGAGATCCAGCAGGAGTTCTGGTCTTAGCATGAAAAGGATCAGGGTGGGCAAGGGGGACAGCCGGAGGAGACGGGGGGAGCTGGCGGGCATAGCCCTTTCTCAGTGTTGGACCCCCTGAGATCCAGCCCTACTTCTTGCACTGATAATGCACTTTGAAGATGGAAGGGACAGGGCCACTTCAGAGGGTCTCCTGCCCTGCAGGGTCTTTCTGCCCATGTCCACTGGAGGGGCTGTGGCCATCAGTTCTGGCTGTGTAGGGGAGGGAGGGGTGCATGCATGTCCCCCACCCTCCACAGTCTTCCTTGCCTTTAGAGTGACCCTGCAGAGTCACTCAGCCAAATCTGTCTGCTGCTCCCTCTCCTCAGCCAGTTGGGTGTGCAAAGAGCTGTCCTGGGGTCCCTTTGTTAGCCCTGAGTTTGGCTTCCCAAACACCAGTATTGAATGTTCTGTGATTGATTTTGCTCCTCCTCCGCTCTCCCCCAACACCCGGCTATCGGAATCTGGCTTGGTTCGAGATGGGAGCTTTTCTGTGTCCTAAGCCTTTTCATGCTAGCAGGAAGACTGAAAGCGAGGTGGCCCAGTGTGGGGTCATAGGGCTTGACAGACCTGGCACTACATATCTTCATTTCAGGTGCCCCACCTATTTATGTGAGCCCACAGGTGGAAAGGGGAACTGCCCCAGTGAGAACAGGGGCATGGGGGTGTTGGGAAAAATACAGTGAAGTTGCAGTGAAAAGGTTAATGGAGCATGTCCTTATTCTTTTTGGAAACACTCGAAAGGCAAACCAGCAACTGTTGAAGGTACCCATTTACCTGCTTGGGGTCAGGACCTGGTCAGACCAGGTTCAGATGCAATCATATGCTCATCCCAGGACTAGTTTCTTGGGGGACTCACTCACTGGTGCCAGTTCTAAGTCAGAGACAAAATTCCTGTTCCTTTTTTTGTCTAAACTATGTGTTATTCCCTTCCTTTGGTCTTCACTCTAATCCCTGGAGTTGTGGGCTTTCGGTTATGTGTTTGGTTAGTAGATATCACGCAGTGCCCCAGAATAACATACGAAGGTGGGCCCTGGGCACTGAGAGTTGGGAATTCACTCTCAATTGGGCCGTCCATGTTGTGATGCCCTTGAAGTGAAATGGAGCCAGCAGGAGTACCTTCTGTAAATGCATGTGGCAAAGTGCTATTTATAGGGTGCCCAGGGAGCCACTGATATACAATCACCTCTAGGTCCCTCATACTGGAAACTGACCAAGGCCTGTGCTGGGCTCTGGACACGAGCTGGGTAGGAAGGATAGCAGAAGACAACCCTGACCTTTCTGGAAGTTGTTTCCTTAACTTGAAAGTTGAGCTTCCTCTAAAGCTTTCTCACGGACGTCCTCACCATGCCACTACTCTGAGGCCTCTTGTGTTACGTATGAACAGTCGTTTTTATGTGGAAATGATGACTTGATTGGGAGTAGAGTCTCAAGGTCATTCCCGTCTTCCCTGGAGACTCTCTGAATGCTGCTCCACTGTCTTTTGTCTTGGAGTATTTCTCTGGCAACGTTGGAGGTCACTCAGCAGGTTCCTTGCATTTGCTGCCTGGATGTGCAGCTGGCAACTGTGATGAATTGGTCGCTGCGCTTTCTCTATAACGAGGAGAGATGTCCTGCCTTGGGGTTGATGAAAGGGGTGACCTTGGTTTTCATTGTTCCTTGCTTTATGAGCCCATTAGCACTTTGGTTCAAGGGGCCCACCAAGTCTTGGACGGGGAGGCGCTACTGGTTTTGTTGGCCAAGGTTTTGTTACCGCTTCTCCTCTCTGTCCTTCTCTTTGTTCAGTGAAACCAAGATGCAAAGGATTGTTTTTTGCCCCCATTCTCCTACTCCTGGGCTAGGAGGGAAAAATGTGAATTTTACCAGAAGTTCTAGCCCACCTAGTGATCCTTCTTAAGTCTTGATGGGGAGAAGAACATAAAAAGTCTGTTCTGTGCCCTCCTTCCCCTGGGCCCTCCATAACCCCAGTCTAAGCCACGGACACATCTGTGTATACTAGGCTCCACTAAATAGCCCTCTTGCGGCCCTCCAAACCATGCTGGCTGTACACAGTGCTTTATGGTCTGAGGCAGAGATTTTTCCTTTGCTCATTTTTAACTTTTGCCATTGTGTTAGGTTGCAGCCATCTTTCCTGGAAAGATGTAGGTAACTGATGTAGTGTAGATTGAATGATGGCCACCCGCCATCGAGTGAGAGGTTGAATGCCATCCTTACTTGTCCACTGTGGGGAAAGACAAAGGAAGGCTGGGCCTTTGCTAAGGAAATAATTGTACCTGAAAGAAGCAAAAGCAGGGTTATCTAACGATGCTGCTGTGAGCATCCACGAAGAGGAAACAGTTACCATCTCGCAACTCCTACACACCTGGCCTCTGATGTGCCCCTGACTGCCACCCTCTCTCTGTGGGGCAAGGCTGGAGACAGGCTGAGGATCTGTATAGCAGCAGGTCTCAGTGGCTTTCTACTCACTAGGGTTCCCATGCTCTGTGGTCCTTGTCAGGAGCAGGCCCTGGAGCTGTGGATGAAGCCACTTGAGTGGCAGTAGCTGGCCCTGGCTTCTCCTGCCTTCCCTTTGCACAAAGACATATTCCTTCTGCTCTTGGAAGGTGCTCACTACCTGGAAGATGGTGATAGGAACAGATACTGCTCTCTGCCCCTGCTCCTTGGATCCTTCAGCTCCTACCACTGATTCGGATTATCCCCTGGGGACCCCCTTGGGGATCCAGACTGCTGCCAGGAGGTTGAGTAGATACCTCAGTTATCTGGATGTTATTTCTGAGAGGCTTTGGTGGATACCCTTCACTTGGCATCCTGTGGCATCCCTAGGGTCTTCTGGTAACAATAATAGCAACAATGGTATCTTACATTTGGGACAACTCAGAATAGTGCTAACTTTTCCTCCTGACCTTTGCAAAATGACATCATTTTCCCTGTACATTTGATACACTTGCTAGTAGAGAAGCAGAAATGCTTAAAGATGAAAATTCAAGTGAAGAGAAATTAAAAAGTGGCTTGGACTAATTGCTGAGTGGGGCCACCGGGCTCTGAGAACTGAACAGGTTGGCTGCATTCCCCATTCTGCTTTTGCTGTGTGGCCATAGGCTTGTCTCTTTAGCCCCTCTCAGATTTCCTTCCTTTAAAAGCAGTCATCACATGCTTCCCTCTCAAGGGCGTTGGGTGTATGTATCAGAGAAGGTCAGTGAAGCACCGCAGCTCCTTGCCAGCTCCTAGAGGGAGCTTGCTTCATCTCTACAGGGTGAGTTGCTGAAGTTGAGACCTTTGCCTGGAGGGAACTTGCCTTTTGTCCTTTGGCTTCTAGAAGAGGAGTGATTTGGAGGTGGCTGAGCATGACTAATGGGGGCCCATCAGGCCCATACCCTTCTGCTGCATTTATGTAGCACCTGGTGTTGACAAGCATTCCTCCTGATTCCCCCACTTAACTTGTCGGACACAGTCTGCCAATGTCATCCTCACCATTTGTGTCTTACAGAGAAGGAAATGGGAGAGGAAGGTTGGTAGCAATGTCAGAGTGACAGTTGGCTGTCTCTGATTTCTTGGGGTCATCAGTCTGATTTGTTTAGAGCCTGGAATCATCCCAATTCCTGGAAGAATCTTTGGAAAAGTGTCCCCTTGTCCTTAGGGACATATGTCATGGTCACTAAGACCCCTTTCCCTCAGGCTGCTGTTGCTCAGAGACACAATGAGCAACATCTAGATGTCCTAGATACCCCTAGGACATCTAGACCTGACTTTTCAGGAACTGTTTTGCCTCTGTGGTCTCCGCATTGGAGTCCTCCCTGCCTTCTCCTTCCCCTGTGTGAAGGAAACACCTCCCTAACCATCCTAACTCATCCAGCTCACTTTTAACAAAGCAAAGAGCAGAGGGCACTGAAGACTGGATGGTTGTGAAGGCACACCTTGGGTTGGAAACCGTGCTGGCAGGAACCTGGTGATTAGAGCTGCCTGCTTCCTGGGTGTGTGAATTTGCACATCTTTTTCCCTCTCTGGGCTTTAAAAGCCTTCTGTGAGCTGGGGACGATACTATCTACTTTCCCTCCCGAAGCCCTTCTAACTTTAAAATGTATGGTCCTGGAGCTCTGAGACCTGCACAGAAACTGCAGCCTTGCTAGATGGCTTCCCTTGTGCAGAGAAGTGTGCGTGTGTATGAAATATATGTACAGTTTTATGTTAAAAACCGTCGAATATCAGCTGTTTCGTATGGATTAACCTAAGGTACCTGCCTCTCTCTTTGGCTTTAGGTCTGAGAATGACTTGTCTTTGTCAAGGTATGCTATTGTTAGAAACACATTACCAAATGCATCTCTTCTTTCAGATCAGCATATTCCTAGACTAGGAATTCATATTAATGAAAATTCACATATGAAAGGAAAACCCATTGCTATTTCTGGGGAGGACCTCAGTCCTGGGCTTTCCCCTGATATTGCTACCTGGATGGCAGGAGGAGGAAGTGGAAATCCTGCTGATTAAGGCTAAGTAACAGGGTTTAGGTGCCTAATTAGCATGACCCAGCCCGGGACTTCCAGTTGGCTATGCAGGCCAGGTGAGTCTCTTACGGACTTCCTCTCAGACTGCTGTTTCTCATTTTGTCCTGATGAGATATTGATGGTCATGTCCACACCCTTCCTCATCCTTTTCCCTTCTTGGGCCCTAAAACTACCTTGGCCTCTCTAGGCTGTTCAGGGAATCCTGGCTTGCGCGGCAGCATGTTGGGCTCACTCTGTGATCAGCAGCCAGTAGGACTGGTCCTTCCTGATTCTTACTGCCTGTGGTTCCCCAACCCCTGCAAGCCTGCTTTGGGCCTTGAGCTGGAAAGAGAAGAGCCCTGGGGGCCAGCTGGTTCTGGGAGCTGAGCTTTTCCACACCTCTTTGTTAACCCTTGGAAACAGACCCGCCTTTCCCCGACCCATCTTCCTACCTGTCTTGTCTGACCTGCCCTCCTTGAAGGCACTCACCACCTAGTTTTACTAGGCTGATTGGCAGGTGTGGACATGATAGGTGTCTAACTAGTTAGGTGTCTCAGGATGGGACACCAGAATACAATTCCAGGTGTGCACAGACAGGCCTCTGCTAGTGGGACATGTAGGGTAGGTGTGTGGGCATTCTGAACCCAATGGTCAGAGTAGCCACAAGCGGAGCCCTGGGGAGCGAAGGTCCCAGGGACATGGTGTTCCTTGCCCTGCGCTCACAAAGTCCAAGGCTAGGTTTCTGAAGTAGTATGCCGCCGTTCCTGAGATCCTTCACACCTGGACACGTACCCAGACAAAGCCTGACTGAAAATTTTGATACTGCATTCATCATGGAATTTTTCAATAACTCTGATTTTTTTAAAAAAATTGCATTGCAATATGGTTTATCATGATTACTGAAGTTCTTTTTCTTTTTTTGGTGCCCCCTTACATTTTGCACCAAAGGCGAGGGCCTCACTCTACTCTAGACGCAGTTCTGCCTGCCCCTCACCTGGACCTGTGAGAGGGACTTAAGTACCACTGTGAAATAGGTTTCATGTTTTGTTCTTACCCTTCCCCTCAAGTCCTGAGTGAGACAGCAGCTCTCTGGGAGTGCTTGAGTTTAAATAGGAGTGTAGACTTATAGCAGAGTTTTTAACTTTGGATCTACACCTGGGTGTGACATTTCCTTGGTGTTCTCTGCCTGCCTTTCCAGCTCTTTGCAGCCCTGAGGACACTTGTGGGAGTGTGTGCGCTCTGCAGAGAAAGGAAGTGATTAGGGCAGAGAGGCCCCTTTAGATTCTCATCTTAAACCTCTTTGGAACATCTTTGAATTCTAGGAGAAGTGAATAAACTTCATTCATTCTCTCTTCCAGATTTCAGAAGAGACTGAAGCAAATGGAGGCTTTTTCACTCCCTGGCATGCCAGGAGCCACTCTCCCTAGCTCTGTGCCTACACAATGAGTCTTCAGAATTTGGCTCGTCACATCCTCTGCTAGTATCATTTCCACCACCCTCATCATCCTCTGTCATCTTTATTTCATCCTCATCATTTCTCTCTACCTCCAGTTCAGAAGCCATGCTGGCTGTAGCTCTTTTCTTCATCACCATCAGAGTGAGGCATAGATGTATCCCGGCCTAGGTATGGAGACTAGTAATAAATGATAAGAAATAATTAAACTTTTTCCACGTGGGGAGTGTTATTCTAGCAATTCATATATATATATATATAATTTTTGACTCCTTACAATAATTCTGGGAGATGGATTTACCCCCATCTAAGGATGTGGAAACCGAGGCTCTGATAGTTGTGTGATTTGCCCAGGGTCACACAGCAAGGAAGCAAGTTGCTGATCTGCTTTGTTCCAAAGCCATCTCTGTTTTTCCTCTGAGCACATTTCTAAGCCACTGCTAAGGCGCTCTGAGATAAAGTTGGCCTAGCTCAGGTCCACCTAGGTTTTGAGATTGCCCTTTGCCCAAGGAGGAATTGTGTCCTTGGCTCGCCTGTCATCTGCCTGTGATTGGACTTGCACCCAGGCTGGAGTGCAGGTCTCAGCTGACATCCTCGATGCTGCTGGCTGCCTTCCTCTCCCTGTTGCCTCTCCAGTGACTCCAGGGGTTTGAAGCACACGGGAGTTGGACATACCAATTCTGTAGCTCTTCTCCAAACACCACTGAAGGCTGTGAGCCTCTCTCCTGTTTCCAGCCCGCAGGTGCCCCACTGTGGCTCTTCATTCCAGCTTCTCACTTTTCTCCTAGTCTCTTGAGCTTGGAAGCCTTACTGTAGCTCGTGTCTCCTCCCTGGGCGTTTGAAGTCAGGCTTTTGCCTTTCTGGCACATTGAGCCACATGCCCTTGATAACCAGTTGTGGCAAAGAAGGGAGGTGATGAACTTGCTCATTTTCTTGTCTGATTTCCCTCACCTCACTTCTTATCCTGCACATTGACTCACAACCACTCCCCCACCCCCGACCCCCAGATATCTTATAGTCTAAGGCAATCTTTTAGAGGATTAAGGAAGGGAGTTGGAGATGGGTTTTACTTAGTTCACAGAAAAGCTTTCTTTGGGATTTTCCTCCCCCTTAGGGCTTTTAAGTCTAGGTGAAGTGAAAGTTCACGTAGGTGTTTGTTTGGTTCCTCTGTAATTAGCTACGAGTTTTTATCCCTAGACCTCCTCTGCTCCAGTGTCTTGCCCACGTATCCTGCCCCGTGTCCTTGAATTCCCATTTTGCTTTGGGATTTAAGTTATTGTATGTTGTCAACAATATTTAAAGATGAAAAAGTCCTGAAGGAAACTTATCAGATTCTTTCCTTTGGCTTTTTTTTTTTTTTCTTTCACGGTACTGTAAATTGTTAACTAGGGATGCCAAGCAGGCTTGGTCCAGTGGCTAAACCTCTTATTGTATTACAGTGTAATGCCGATCTCAGCCTGGTCCCAATGCCAGAGCACACAGAGACTTGAATAAAACTGTTATAACGATTACTTCTGGTTTGCTGTGGTTCTTCATAAACTCATCCTTTTCGCTCTCTTTCTTTGCTTCTTTCTTTTTCCTTCCCTCCCTCCCTTCTTTCCTTCCTTCCTTCCTTTTCTCCCTCTGTCCCTCCCTCTTTCTTTTCTTTCACTCTTATTGCCCAGGCTGGAGTGTGGTGGCACGGCCTCGACTCGCTGCAACCTCTGCCTCCCGGGTTCCAGCAATTCTCCTGCCTCAGCCTCCCGAGTAGCTGGGATTACAGGCACTTGTCACCACACCTGGCTAATGTTTTGTTTTTTTTTTTAGTAGAGACAGGGTGCCATCATGTTGGCCAGGCTTGTCTTGAACTCCTGACCTCAGATGATCCACCTGCATTGGCCTCCCAAAGTGCTGGGATTACAGGCATGAACCACTGTGCCCGGCTGTTTTTATCTTTTCTTTTTTTCAGAGACAGGGTCTTGCTATATAGCCCAGGCTGGAGTGCAGTGACTGTTCATTGGCACGATCCCACTGGTGGTCAGCATGGGAGTTTTTTGACTTGCTCTGTTTCTGACCTGGGCCGCTTCACCCCTCCTTAGGCAACCTGGTAGTCCCCTGCTCCTGGGAGGTCACCATATTGATACTGAACTTGGTGTGGACACCCGATCAGCATAACGCACTACAGCCCAGAACTCCTGGGCTCAAGTGATCCTCCCACATCAGCCTCCCGAGTAGCTGGGACTACAGGCACGTGCCACCACGACCAGCTGCTTTTTTCTTTTTAATTAAACTGAATGCGCAAGTAACTGGACTGTTTCCAGGGGGTTTTCATATGTAGGAAAAAAATAACTGGAGAAAGATGGAAATGCTGCAGAAAGGAGGTGAGTGAGAAGCCTCTCTGAGGGTCTACGAGCCTCCAGCAGGACCATGGGGGCCTTTGTGAATGACAGTGCCGAACAGTGCAGTCTCTGCTCACAGTTGACTTCCACACAGCTCGTGGATTTTGGCTTTCAGAGCCACTTGTGAGTGCGTGCTGTCTCCTATTCCCTACCACTAACCATGCTGACATTCCTGGTGAAGTTGTAAATGGAGCTAAGAAGACAAACACATGGAGTTGTAGACATGAATAAGATTTACTGGCTATGAGTCACAGATTCCTTGTGGCTCTGATGCTCTTGATGGCACTTGTCAGCTGTGTGACCTTGGCAAGCCACTTAACCTCTCTGGGCCTCTTCTGGAGCAAGCTGATCACAAAGCAGCCTTTGTGCCCTCACTTCCCATGATTTTGTGCTAGGTGGGGATGAGGATAAAGCAGACAAGATAAATCTTGTTTGAGGCCATTCTTCACAGTGTGACTCCTCTATTTCATCACTCAGCTACAGGTGGAAAAAATGACTTCTGAACTTAAATATTCAGACACTCTCATGCGTGAATGCTATAACTTTTCATTTCTCTCTGACCTCTTTGCTCTTTTCTCTGACACCTGGGGAAGGGTGACTCTGAGGTGAGGTTCTGTGTTGGATGCTTGGATTGTGAGAGCAAAGCTGAGATTCTGCTGAGCCTTCAGGTTAGTTTGACCAGGATCCAGATAAGCCGACTGGGCAAAGATGAAAAATTGACCAATGTCCTCACTGGTGCCATATGGAAAGGTGCCATATACTGTTTTTGTTTTGTTTTGTTGAGGCAGAGTCTCTGTTGCCCAGGCTGGAGTGGAATGGCAAGATCTTGGCTCACTACAAGCTCCACTTCCTGGGTTCAAGTGATTCTCATGCCTCAGCCTCCCCAGTAGCTGGGATTACAGGCACATGCCACCATGCCCAGCTACTTTGTATTTTTGGGAGACATGGGTTTCACCATGTTGGCCAGGCTGGTCTCAAACTCCTGACCTCAGGTGATCTCCCCACCTTAGCCTCCCAAAGTGCTGGGATTGCAGACATGAGCCACGTCACCCGGCCAGGCAGCATATACTGTTAACATGTATACAAATTGCTACATGTTTCTGGAAAGCAGCTTGGCCATATGGTATTAAGAACTATAACACAGGCCTAGTAATCCCATTACTACTCAATAGTAATAAAAACTTTCAATGTGCCAACCATTGCACTACAACCTATGTTATCTCATTTACAATATTTCAACATCTTTAAGAGTAGGTCTGTTATGGCCGGGTGTAGTGGCTCACGCTTGTAATCCAAGCACTTTGGAGGCCAAGGCGGGCGGATCACCTGAGGTCGGGTGCTCAAGACCAGCCTGACCAACACGGTGAAACCCCGTCTTTATATATAAAAAAAAATTTATTTAAAAAAAAAGAAAAAGAGTAGGTCTGTAATTATCTCCATTTTACATTGAAGAAAGGGCCAGAGGGTTGAGTAACATGCCCAAGACCACACAATTGGCTAATAGTGAAGTTGAGATTTGTCTGATTCTGGCATCTGCGTTTGTATCGTAAGATGGAGTTGGATGCAGGCAAAGATTTATAAAGATTTATAAGTCATCCCAATGTTATTTACAGGAGCAGTCAAGAGACTACAAATGACCCAAATAAGAATCTGGGTCTTCTTCCACCCTCTTCCTTACCCAGCAACATAGAATCTGAGACAGTGAGAGCAAGAAGGCTCTCTTTACAAATTACAAAACCGTCTAAATGCCTGACAACAGGGGGTGCTTAAACTGCTTTTTTTTTTTTTTTTTTGAGACAAAGTTTCACTCTTGTTACCCAGGCTGGAGTGCAATGGCACAATCTCGGCTCACCGCAACCTCCGCCTCCTGGGTTCAGGCAATTCTCCTGCCTCAGCCTCCTGAGTAGCTGGGATTACAGGCACGCACCACCATGCCCAGCTGATGTTTTGTATTTTTAGTAGAGACAGGGTTTCACCATGTTTACCAGGATGGTCTCGATCTGTTGACCTCGTGATCCACCCGCCTCGGCCTCTCAAAGTGCTGGGATTACAGGCTTGAGCCACCATGCCCAGCACTAAACTGCTTCTTTTTAAGGCATTTTTTGAGTACCCTCCTGTTCCAGGTACCAGCTGGACACCAGAGATTGGCAGCTTCTTTAGCAGGTTCTCAAAGACGATATGGTCTGGTGGGAGAGACCAAAATATGAAGAAATCTTTAAAATAAGGGAGTCAGTGTCATGATGGGGTGCTAAAGGAGCACTGTGGACTGGGTTTAGACTGAGCTGGGGCTTCACTTCATGGAGGAAACAGAACCTGAGCTGAGTCCTAAAGAATCAAAGGCACCAAGGCAGGAGATGGTGAGATGCTCCCTCTCCTCTCAGGCAGCACAATTCTGTCTCTACATTTTTAAAAAAGTGAACCTTGTGATACCTCACCCTGGGTTCCTAGCTCTGGTTTTATGGGCCATGTGAAATATTATGTGGCCATTAGATTATTCATGAATAGATTATTCATGAAGTTATATTACTCATGAATAATTAAGAAAATGTGAAAATGCTCATGATAAGCTAAATGGTAGGTTACAAAACATTTCAAAAGCAATTAGATCCCCATTATATACAGAAAATCTATTTATATTTAAGAAAATACACATCTGATAGGCACAGGAAAAAGACTGGAAGAAAGTTATCTTTGTGGGGAGATATCATAGATGATTTTAAAATGTTCTTTTAGAATTTATTAAACTTTAAAAAAATGAACATAGGTTACTTTTCCATTCAGCAAAACAATGACAAATGAAGTAGTTTGAGGATGCTTTCCCATCCTAACCATGTTCCTTTGCAGATGTTCCAGAGACCCAGGCCACTAGCTTCAAGGCTGTCCCCTGCCCTGAGCAGTATGACAAGGTGATTCCAGAAGCCCTGCTGATGGAAGGTAGAACTGGGGCCAACTTCCTGGCCCCCTCACCCCTTTCTTCACCCCTTTCCTCTAGTGGAGAGATGGTGCTGGAATGGCGAGCACCTGCAGACTGCCAGCGGAATCCAGTGAGAGCACATGAACACAGAACATTCTAAGTAGAAGGTGCTGTGGGAGTCTCCTAGGGGCACAGGTAGTGAGGGATGTCAGGTCCCTGCACAGGCAAGCAGCATGTTCCCACAACACAAGTGCACACCCCTCTGTGGAAGGAGCTGTGCTGGGCCTAGGTCCACCACACCCTGTTTACTCGCCTGTGGAATGTTCTTCATTCAAGGCTGGGGCTGATGTCCTAATCCTCTGAGCCCTCGATCCCCACCCTATCTAGTCCAACTAGCTCAAGCTGGAGAACATGTTTTGCCATAAGGGGGTGGGGTGGAGGTGAGGGTAGGGTCCGCCAACCTGCCCCCTGCTCTTCTCAGTCACTGATCACACTGCTGCCATCCAACCAGGAGAGCCTGGTGTGGGGTCTCAGTGGGAGACACTGGATGCTTCTTTGTGATGGAAGGACAATGGGGAGGCTTGAGAAAGATCAGCCCTAGGAAATGTGCTCATGAAACACAGGTTGGATCATGCCACATGCAATGTCTGCAGGAAAGGATCCAACATTCTTGAGCACGGCCTTAAGGACCCCACCCGATCTGGCCCCAGCCTACCTTCCCAAACGCCCATCACAATTTCCCTGCCTCCAGTCCTTCCCCACCCCTAAGACTCGACACTTCTCTGCTTCCTGAAACACTTGATTTTCCAGGAATGTAGGCCTCCTGCTTGACAGTGTATTATCCTCTTTATGAACTGACTTTCTGGCTAACTACCCAGGTGTCTAAGAAGACTGCAATCTTTAGGTGGTCACCAAATTAAGTGGTCAGCCAGGGTGTGGTGGCTCATGCCTGTAATCCCAGCACTTTGGGAGGCCAAGGTGGGTGGATCACCTGAGGTCAGCAGTTCGAGACCAGCCTGGCCAACATGGTAAAACCCCATCTCTACTAAAAATACAAAAAAAAAAAAAAAAATTAGCCAGGCGTGGTGGCACGTGCCTGTAGTCCCAGCTACTTGGGAGGCTGAGACAGAAGAATTGCTTGAACCGGGGAGGCAGAGGTTGCAGTGAGCTGAAATGGCACCACTGCACTATGGCCTGGGCGACAGAGTGAGACTCCATCTCAAAAAAAAAAAAAAAAAAAATTGAAGGAGACAAGACAAGATGGGAAAGAAGAATAGAGGCACATTTCATCCTCTAGAGAATGACAGTCTCCCTGGTGAGACTGGACATGCTAGGATGCAGTGGAGAAGCGTACCAAGCACCATGGGACACCTTCAGATGGAGAGGTGTCCTGCAGATGGAGGGCTAGTGAGTAGTGGCCTGATAAAGTAGCACCAATTCCCACCTAGTTCTGTGCTTTACCCAACCTGGAAAGAAAAGACTCATCCCTCCGATCCTCTGATAGATGGTTATCGAGAGCCTACTCTGGTCCCAGTTACACTGTGACTGGCACATTCTGGTTCCGTGTAGGACCAGGCAGGTCAACGAGTGAGGCACTCTTAAGACAGTGAGATGCAGTGGGGGATGGCGCTGTGTGGAAAGGCATTTATCAAAAGCAAATATTTAACTCATGCTCAAACACATCGTCTCTGGGTTTTAAAACCCCTGAGGGCGAATGAAACAGAAAATAACTGCCACTTTTTTGGAATTTGCCATCTAGTGGGGAAAATCAGGTTAAGCCGACAATTAAAGCACTGTGATAATCTCTGTTTCAATATCTATCTGTCTATGTCTGTCTCTGTCTTTGTCCATGTCTATATTTCCTGTATGGTGAGGAGGAGAGAGACAGGCGCACATAGGCAGAGAAGAGGTGAGAAGTACTGTGTAAGTTGAGACCTGGAAGATGAGTAAGATTTAAATAGTCCCAGGAGGTGGTGGTAATGGGGAAGCCAGGTGTTGGGTGCAGCACGTGAAGGGGATTTTATCCTCTGCCAGCTCACTTATCTTGCGTTCCTTATCTCACAGAGCACTTTGTTCTTGAAGCCTTTTCTTTATCATAAGCACTAGTGTTAGGAAATAACCGGTAGAGAAAAAAAGATTAATTTTTACACAGGCGGGAGATGAAGTGGGTGGTTCTGCCCGTGCTATTTAGTTTGCCCTGGGGTAAGGAAAAAAATGTCTCTCAGGACACATTCTATAGGGAAACAGAAAGGGAATGGATAATAACACGTGGGGCGAGAGGTTTAGGAGATGGATTTCAGGCCCAGGGGATCTTTTCCTTGCTCTTATTTCTGAGCAAATGATATTAAAATCAGAATATAACAACCCCTCCCTGCTTCCTCCTACAACCCACCTTGGGAGGTTTGTCCCAGTAAATGCAGTAGTTTTCAATATTTGGCCATCGATCCCTGGGGATATGTGAGGTCAAACTATTTTCACAATAACACTAAACTATTGTTTATCTTTTCTCCTGTGTTGACATTCGTATCCCAAAGCATGGCAGGTCTAACTCCTGGCATCTTGGCATGGGCAGAGACACCAAATGGGACAGCACTCCTTACATTCTCCATCACCAGGCACTCGAAGTAATGGAAATGCCAGTTTCACTGAAGAATGTTCTTGATAGAGCAGTAATTACTTAGTAACATTACTGTGTTAATTAAATCTTGACCCTGGCTTCAGTATATCTTTTTAACATTCATGTGAAGTCACATCAAGTACTTCTGCTGTGCACTGAAGTACAAGGTCGCCTGGAGGAAAAGCACGTATATGATTGAGATGTGAGCTGAACTAGCTGCCTTTTTTTCTTCTTTTTTAAATGAAACACTATTTTTACTTGAAAGAACACTTGTCAAGCAAACTATGATTATTCAGGATTGAGTATTTCCCAGATATTTTCTCACAAGTGAACAAAGTTAGCCTGTCACTTCACTGAAAACAACTGTATTTGTTGCCAACGATGAAATTCAAGCTTTCAATTGAAAATTAGAATTTTGGAAAAATTTGTGTAATTCATGAACTTGGCAGCCCCTCTCCTCCCCTTCCCTTTCCTTCCCTTCCTCTCTTTTTCCTCCCCTCCTTTCTTCCTTCCTGTCAGGGTTTTACCCTGTCTCCCAGGCTGGAGTGTTGTACCCTGTCACCCAGGCTGGAGTGT